CGGGGTGGCAGAAATGAAGCTGGCCAGAGGCCACACGGTGGCCATATTAGTCAGCTTAGCTGCCACTACACAGTACCACAAACTAGGCGGCCCAAACCATATAAATGTATTCCTCAGTTCTGGCGGCTGGAGACCAAGCTGTCACAGGCTTGCTTCCTTCCGAGGCCGTGAGGGAGAGCCTGTTCCACGCCTCTCTCCTTTTGGTGGTTGTGGCAGTCTTGGCCATTTCTTGGCTCGTAGACGCATCGCCCAGTTCTTTTTCTGTGTTCACATGGTGTTCTCCCTGTCTGCATGTCTCTGTATCCAAATTTCCCCTTTTTATAAGGACACCAGTCACACTGGATTAAGACCCCCCCTAATGACCTCATCTTCCCTCTGCAAAGACCCTGTCTCCAAATAAGGTCATATCCTGAGATCCTGGGGGTGGGGAGGGGGGGGAGAGGAGGGGTGAGTAGGACTCCAGCTACCATTTTGAGAGGAACTCAATTCAACCCATAACAGTGGCCAGCCTCGTGTGCCCAGTTTAGGAGCTTGGACCACCTAAATTCAAACCCCTCTCCACCAGTTCCCTCCCACCCCAACTTATTTTCTTTAGATAAAGCCCAAATGACATAGCCCAAGTACAAGCCCTCCTCTATGTGTTTTTTTCCATTTGTAATTATGTGATTCATTTGTATTTATTTGTAGGTCATCAGTGTCTGTGTCCCATGGGACCATCCCTCGCATGAGAGCAGGGGAGGAGGGTGTTCTGGTCACCATTGTACCCTCAAAGCTGGAAAAGCATCCAGGACGTTGCAGCCACAGAAAAAAATAGCCATGAATGAGCGAAGGAACATGTGCATCAGAAAGCATCAGGGAGCACCCAGCTGGCACAGCTCCCCCAGGCCCTGACCCTACCACCTGCCAACATATGGCCAGTGAATGACTTTTCCCACAGGTGCTGGCCTCCGCTTCCTTCCCAGGACAGACAGCTGGCAGAATCTCAGAACCTCAGGTCCCCAGAGAGCAGCGAGGAGCTGAGCTGGCTCTGCCGCAGGCGGTCTTAGGACTGTTTGGGAGACCTAGTGGGTCTGCCCTCAAACATTGGTGACAGCGGCAGGAATGCCCTGCCTTCCTTGGGTGAGCAGCTTGGTGCAGGAGCAATCTTCCTAAATCAGCAGCCTAGATCCCACCCATTTCACAGGTCAGCAAACTGAGACCTAAAGAAGGAGAGAGCAGCAGCACCACGGTAGGAGGTAGAGCCCTAAGATCAAGGCCTACTCTCCCGTTCACCCTTAACCTAAAATAAACCCCTTAACCTTCAGGAGCTCGGCTGTCTTGGCTATAAAATGGGAATAAACAAGGTGCCCTCTATTTCTTGAGCAATTGACAGCTCTAAGGGCTATGATTTGATCACTGCCATTTCCTCTCAGGACACCTTTTAAGCCAACAATCCTAATTTACTTCTAATACTCCGCTCTCTCTCATGACCCTCAACACCTATCTTTGAGATTATATTACCCAGATGTGTTTGCTCAGTTTATTTCTCATTACCTTGGGTGTTGTCACTTCTTGGGAGATTTCTTATCCTCTTTGAAAGGGGGGTTTGGATGGTGTGCTCCCTCGGGTGACTCTTGTGTGAATAAAAAGAGGGTGTCCTTTCTCTAGGCTGCAGTTTGCACAATTTCTTATAGGACCCCAGGTGTCAAAAAGACCTTACAAATGGATCACCTAAATCAACCCTCACGTGGTGCTTGGCTCCTGTTCACCTCTACTCAAGTCATGATGTCACCCACGTGAGGCAGGGGGTCACTCACCATGAGCAAATCCCTGTTCTGTTTTCCAGTGATTCTAACCTTTGAAAAGTTTTTCCTCATATTGAGCAAACCTGCCTCAGTGAGTCCCTCAAAGACATGGGTGGCCAAGACCTGCCCTTGGCATTTAGAACAGAGCCTGTTGACCCGGAAATAATAAGAATTGAACTGTAGCCCTCCCTCGTCTTCGCAGCTCTGCCCTCTGGGGGTGACTGTTGACCAGATGACATGCACTCAGGTAAGAAGTTCCCTGATTCCTTGACTAACCTGTAGCTGAAACAAGGAGAGCATGGATGATGGGACCCACAGATGGTCCGAAGGTACCTTACTGAACCTTTGTCAAAAACTACAACCAAGTCACCAAATGGGTTAGCTGCTTTTAGCGTGGGTGGCAAAACCAAAACCCAAGAACTATACAATCCAAAGCCCTTCCCTCGTGAGGACAGAAATGCTTATTGGGAATATGGAGTCAGGAAAGAAGGTGCCCAGAGCCTAGCTAATCCCCCCAGATGGATTAAGCCTCTGAACCACATCCTCTCTCAGGAAGAATCCAGTGGCCAGCTGCATCTGTCAGGATCCCAGTGGAAAAGAGATGGTTCACTCAAAGGGCTTATCAAAGGGACTATTTACAGAGGGGTGGACAGGGTAAAGGGAACCCACCAGGGCCCCTGAAGCATCAGGGATTAGCCGCAGCTAGAAGCTTTGATTTCCCTGTGGCCTGAAACCTGGAGGGAGGGAGCTGTCATAAGAATCTGGAAGGAGCTGGGACCATAAGGGGAGCTGCTTGAGAGGACAGGCAGTCCTCAGGAGAGAAGTGCAGACATTGCCCAACCACAGCATGGAAGAGAGGGAGCCTGGGCAACAATACGCTAACCTCTCCCTCCTCCCAACCTCTGATCTCCGGAGGTGCCTCCCATAGGCTGAACCCAACCAGAGGGCCAAATAGCACAGGAAGCCACAGAAGCATCCTGCAGGGCGCAGAGCAGGGAGGAGAAGGCAGGAGCGTTTGGCAGTTATCCAGCTCACCAACCCAATGAGTCATTAGCTTCCAAGATCCCATCCTTTCATCCAGCAATGTTTGCTCCAACAATGACCAAAGTTGACTGATCACCTAGTACGTGCCAGGCACTGTGCTAGGCTTTGTGACACAGAAATGACTTGACCCTTCCACCAAGGCAACGGTTAAACAAATAATCACTGAAATATGTAAACATATCCCAATTGGAAGGGGATAGAGAAAACAAGGAACATGATAAGAATGTAAAGGAGGGTCCAGTCCCACTCTAGGCATGGAAGAAGGCTTCTGTGAGGATGTGACTTTTAAGCTGACTCCTGACGGATAACTTCGACTTAGTCAGGGAAAGAGTGGTGGTAGCGTATTTCAGGAGCAGGAAACAGAATATGCAAAGACGCTGAGATGGACACATTCAAGAGACTCCACACAGCCAGCCGGTGTGCCTGAAGTTCAGTGAGTAAGAGAAAGAGATTCAAGGGGAGGGAGGGGAAGAACGCAAGGCCCAGGTAGCATTGCACCCGAAAACCCATGGGAAGGAGCTTGGGTTTTCCCAAGAGCAATGGGTAGCCGCTGGCCCCATGTCATGGTCTAGGGCTTCCCTTCAGCCTAATGTTGCCGTTCCAGCCTCCTCGGTGGGGTCTTTTATGAGCCTTTGACTTGATCTCCTCCCTCAGCTGCTGGACACCTCCAGGAGCAGTGAGGTGGCAACATGAGGCTTTGGGTATTCAGATATAGATGACCCCATTCAGGCTTCATCGTCCTTTTACCAGTTCCACAAACCTTGAAGAAGCCATTTTTCTACACTTGAAACCCTCAGGAAATTGCTAGCAACCTGTGTTTCTGGGATTGGACAAAAGGCAGGAGTGGAATGGGAAGTAACTGCAATGTTCACCCAACACCCAGTGGGAGTTTACGCAGGGGCCGTTGCTTCGGAAAAGCGTTTGGCAGCCATGTCCTAAAGCTAAGCAGACACTTACCCCAGGACCCAGCAATTCTGTGCCTAGGAATAAACTTGAGAGAAATGAGTGTGTCCACCAAAACAGTTGTACTATACTAGAATGTTCCTAGAAGCATCGTTCATAATAATCCCAAACCAGAAAGAACCCACATGCCCATGAAGGCCGATGGGATAAACCAGCTGTGATACGTTCTCACAGAAATACAACGATATGACAACAATGAAAAGGAACCAACTACCAGTACGTGTAACGATGTGGATAGATCTCACAAACGTGTTGTGTGAAAGAAGCAAGACACTAAGGAGCATGATTCCATTTATGTGCAGTTCTAGAAGAGATCGAGCTAATCTATGGTGAGAGAAATCAGACTGTTGTGGGGGTGGCGGTAGAAGGGTCATGAGAAACTTCTGGCTGCTGGAAATGTCTTGATCTGGGGCATGCAGACAGGAGTATACATTTGTCAAAACTCATCAAAAACTGTACTGAAGTTTAAAATCAAGATGTATGTACTTTGGTGCATGTAACGTGTACGTCAACTTAAAAATGGCAGGGTGGCACCTGCCTCTTCACCCAGGTTCTCCTCACAGCAGTGAAGGAAAGAAAACACCTCCACCTTATCTCCAGGTCAAGGTACAGTCGATGCAGCTTACAAATGCTTTTAAACAGGCTATATTTTTTCTAAACGAAGCTATATTTCAACAGTGTTTGCTTTATTCTCTTGAGCTTCTTGGTTAACAGGGTTGCTTTTGGTTTTATCCTTTCTACAGGCTCTTGGGGGAGTGGCTCTCCACCCACCCTACCCCAAAAGTAGAGGAGATGTATGTCTTCATCAACAGGTACTTTCTCACGTGGGGAAGTGAAAACTAGAAAACCCATTTTCAGCACACATTTTGAAATCTTCAGCACATGTAAAAAACAAACAAACAAACAAAAAAACATGCACTTCCACAGAACAGCAAGTCTTCAGGTGTCCCATGCCTGCACAGCTTGGCCAATCACTACAGGGCCACAAGACGGGCTTGGGTTAGTGTTTCCAATGGGATTCTGGGTGGGAGGCATTACAGCTTGGTGGCGTTTCCCTGTTGTTGCTTGGGGAACACAATCTTTTGGCAACACAACCTGTTAAGTTCAGATTAACAGGGTCCTTTTCCATCCCCAAAGTCAGTTTTCCTTTCCTCAAATCTCACGTGATAAACAGTCCTGCTGCCGGCGGAGAAGGCTGTATGTGTTTATGATAACCTCGGTTCAAAGCACACATGGGCAGAGCCCTATCTGTCCTGCCTGTCCTTTTCTCCAAGGAGTCCAAAGGATAAAGCCCGGTTATAAAAAGCCACGGCCAACCCGCTGGGCTGTGAGTGAAGCTCTGCTGTCTCACAGTAAGTGACCGCGCGGGCAGGGAGCGTGGCAGGGTTAGGGCTGCCAGAGGGATGCGGTCCAGATGGGGACGAAGCCACTGCAGTGGGGGGACCCTGAGTTCGGGCTGCCGGGTGCCCTGTGTGTGGGGAGGCCTCAGCCTAGGGTCCCTGCTTTGAGGGAGCACTCCTTGGGGCCCAGGTGCGGGGCTTCTGTTTTCCTCCCTGTCCTGTGCGTGCCCCAGGCCTCCTGCCCTGTCTGGCTTCAGTCACTGCCCACACTGTCTGTGTGTGTCTGTGTGTGTCTGTGTGTGTCTGTGTTTTCATCCATGTAGATGCCGCCCACATGGATCACCGGCTTTCTCCTGCTGGCCACAGTCAGAGGTGAGGATGCTCTCTCCAGCCCTTTGCGGAGAAAGTGACCATGCCTGGTCGGGTCTTTGGGTGAGGCAATTAGAGGCATCATTATCATTGTGATGAATAGCATTATCATTCTGTCAAGAAAAACGACAATCGCCACCATCCAGGATGTGTTGACTCTGTGGTAAACCACAGGTCAACATGCTCGACACAGATGGCCCCGGGAATTCATCAGTCCTCTTCTTCCTGCAAAGGCTCTAGTGGCTGAGACGGGGGTGGCAGAGGTGGCAGGCTGCTGGAGCAGGTGGGGGATGGGAGTTTTTGGCAGGCCCCCAATACCCTCAGTCCCTTGAGTGACAAGTGCATGTCCACAGACTAAAGCCACATGGATGTGTTCTCCTGAGAACTGTCCTGCCAGGCCTACCAGATGAGCCCATCTGCCTGCCCATGGCCTGTCTTTCATTCCTCTCTCAGTTCCCGTGTCTGTCTGTCCAGCTCCCGTCTGAACCTCTCCTCCGGCATCCTTCTGCTGGGGCTTTCTTCTGCGTTATGATTCCTCCCTGTTCTCTCCTCAGCTTGACCACAGCCCGCTCTTGGCCGTCCCTTCCATCTTGGCCATGCATCAGGACCCGGCTCCTAACAGCAGAGCCCGGTGGGGCCAGGTGCTTCTCAGGCCTTTCTGGCCCCTCTTGGTCGCCTTTGCTCATCCTTCTGCCCCAAAGGTCACTCTCAGGCACTCTCCTCATCCTCCTCTTCCTCTGGGCTTCCCCTTTACCCAGCCTCTGTACCCCCAACCTCCCAAGTGCCGGAAGCTTCACCAGAGCCTCCCAGCATATCTCAAACTCACTTGTCCATGCTCGGGCACCACCTGCTATCCCCATTTGCCCCCCTGTGCCTTAACATCCACTGTCATCCAAGGTGAGAATGCCCGTTACCTCTCCAGGCCCACCACCCTTGCAATGCCCTACCCCAAACCCCCACCTCTTCCAGGCTCTCTTGCCTCTGAGACACCTACGCTTGGCTCCCCGAAACACCTACATGGAGCACAGGTCCCCCACCCCAGGCACCAGCTCTACACCCTCCAGCACCTCCCACTATCCACCTAACAGCGCAGGTGTCTCTACTTGGCCTTCAAGCCCCTGCATTTACCGAAAGCGTGGCTTTAGCCTCCGGCAGCCCTTCCTACAAAACTGGCCTCTTCCCGGAAGGAGTTCAGTGCCATCATTACTCCTTCCCTCTGAGATTTCTTCTCTTTCAGGGCAGAGTTTATACCCGATTTGTCTTTGTGCCTCCTCAGTGCCTAGCCTTATTCATAACTAAACGTCCTCAGTTCAAATCCTGGCTCCACCACTGGCTGTGACCTTGGGCGGCCTACTTGGTCTCTCTGTGCTTGGCTTTCCCATCTGGAAAATGGAAGTCATACTAATTCCTTACTCGTGAGGCTGTTTTGAGGCTTGAAAGGGGTAACACTGGTAGAGTACCAGTGTGGTAACTGGCACGCAGTAAGCAACAAGTGTTAACTATGACCAGTGGTTGAGTGAATGAGCAACATTTAGTACCATCGGTTTAGGAGTTGAGGCAGCCTAAGAGAGAAGACCCATTGTCATTCTCTGGATTGGATTATGTCACCCTCAGTGACCACTTTCTGTGAAAATGTTTATACTGTAAGCTAAAGAAAGGACTCTCAGATTTAAATATGGTTGTTTGGGTTATTGGTTGCTTGTCTTGAGCCTGTAATATGAAGTGAAAATAAATCATCCCGGTCTTAAGAAACTTACCTTTTCAAAGAACAACAGGGGAAATCTGAAATGGCAGAGAATAATGTGGGGGGCAATGTGTGTAAAAGGATGACATGGAGATATGCAAATTGGACAGACACCCATGAATGGCTACTGTGTGCCTGGTTTGCACTGGATGTAATGGAGACATCAGTATAAATCAAATAGTGTCTCTGTGCTACAGAATTTATAGGTGCTTGATAAATACTTAATGCTTGATGGATTCATGTAAGCGTCCATCTGGGAGTTTCCTGAAAGAGGTAGTTCTAAGCCAGAAGGTTCCCAGGACTTCTCAGCCACTCCTCAACTGACCTGATGATAGGGCTGAAACAGCATTATCAACATGCGGCTTCCAGCGCCCCACCCCAGACCCTCTGAATCAGAATCTCTGAGAGAGGGGCCTGGGGATGTGTCTATGCGACACATTCACCATCCCCCGCACAGCCCCCACGCGATTCTTGTCACCATGGAATTTGGGGAACACCGACAACAAAGATAAACACCCGCATTGGCCTCAGCCAGCCCTGGGCTGCACCCTGAAGAGTCCGGCTGTGTAACTGAGATGACATTGCGCCTTTTCAGAACCTGACACGTGTCCTGTTTGTTGCTCTTCCTGCCCCAGGAATGGAGATCTGCTATGGACCTTTAGGCTGCTTTTCTGATGAAAAACCATGGGGCGGGACCCTTCAACGGCCTTTAAAGATGTTTCCCTGGGCCCCCCAGGACATTGACACCCAATTTCTTCTGTTCACAAACGAGAATCCGAACAACTACCAAGTAAGTGCAGGCATGGAGTGACTGCATGGTGGGTGTATTGGGGTGTCCACACTGGTCGTCTGAGGAAAAATGCACTGCTGTGGCGCTTTTAGATGATGCTCCCTCGCCAGTGTTAGACCAGGAGCCATCTTAGCTCCCAGGATCATAAACCCCTGTGCATATCTGATGAGATCTATGGGTTCCCAACCCACAAACACACGCATTCCACGCACTTGTGCACAGAACACCAGGGGCTTCCCAGCATTAGAACCCTGTCCTTAGGAGGAACGAGATATGAGCAGCATTTAGGGAGAAACCCGGGCCTGGTATATACTCAGGAGGGCCTGTCTTCTTTCTGCACCAGGCAGTGCAGGAGCGAAGCCTCTCAGGGGTGGGGGTGGGGGGGATGTAACCCCTTCCTGAAGAGCTGGAAGACAGGTGGGGGAGAGGAGACATATTAACCACAACAGAGAAAAGGTGAGGCCCCTGGGAGCAACCTTCAGTTAGAAGGCCTGCCAGTTGAAAGCAGGACAGGCAGCTTCCAAGTACTTAAAAGTGACCAGGAAGCATTTGCTCAGAATTCAAGCTGCTCATAGCTCCTGTCCCTGACAGTTAAGAGAGCCAGGAAGATCCCTGAGGTCAGCTGCTGTGGGATTCTAGGTGACAAACTCCCCACTCAGAGCCCCACACTTGGAGTCTGCTTGGACATGGTGGTTGGGCTGTTTTTATCTTGTGGTCCTTCTTTAGGCATCGTGCTCATGGGGGCTGGTGGCAGGGACCTGAACAGGCCCAGGGCTTGTAGAAGTCTGTCCTTAAGTCCTACAAGCTGGCACTGCCCCCCACGGCTCCACTGAGCTGCATCTCCCCTCGTGCCTGGCGCTTCCGGCCCAGGGGTCATCCATCTTTTCTGTGCCAGGGGCCTCTCACCATCTGGAGAAGCTTAAGGGCCCCTTCTTAGGATGATGCTTTCAAATGCATAAAATGCAATACAGTGGATTATAAAGGAAACCAGTGGTACTGAAAAACAGTTAAAAGAACATTAGAAAAACAAATATGCAACATAGTAATATATGTGTTGCTTTATTATCTCACTAAATAATGAGATCTAGGGATTGGTCGAATAACTACTGTCACCTAAAATAGTAATGCATATAAATGATCTTTAAGGTATCTGCAACAACTGCAATGTGACATAAAAATATCTGTGACTTCCACTGGTGACAGAGTGTCGCTAAGACAACTGTGGCTTATTGTCCAATTGTATAATGAACAGAAATGCTAGATTTCAGTTAGGGGTTAATGAACATAGAAAGTCTGTGAACTTGGACTTTCTGAATTCTATCCTCGAACCCCAGGTCAGGAACTCCTGTTCTAGTCTGACCCAACTTGAAGGGAATTGAACCCATGACCTCAGTCTCACTGGAGCTGGCTCTAACAGATCTAAGCCTTGGAAAGGCCAACATCCAAATTCATTTTTTCTAACTTAACCAGCGGATTTCTCCCACGGACCTATCCACCATCGAGGCTTCAAACTTCCAACTGGGCCGAAAGACGCGCTTCATCATCCACGGCTTCATAGACAAGGGGGAGGAGAGCTGGCTGATCGACATGTGCAAGGTAGGGGCCCACCTGCCTCACCTGGCCACTCCCGAGTGAGACCAGCACCCGGTACACAGATTTAAAGGCTGCATCCCCAATGCCCCTGAGTCTGGGAAAGGAAATACTTCGGGGAGAGAAGCCTCCTTCCCAAAAACACTGAGGAAACCCTGGGTTCTCAGGAGCATCCATTGTCAAGATCTCCTGACCCACCAACTTCTAGCCAGCCATCTCCTCCTCAGGCTAAAGAGTCTCAGAGTCCAATCAGAAAGTCGCATAGGTGGGGGCCATAGGAAATTACCTGGCACTTGCCTGACAGTTTATATTAAAACCCTATGTGCAGAAAGAAAGAAAAGGGATTACAATTTACCTTCTAAATCACCGCTATCCAGGTGAACTTTCTGTGAAGGTGAAATAGTCTCAGTCTTCACTGTCCAAATCCAGAGCCACTGGGCTAATTGAGCACTTTGAGATGTGGCTAGTGAGACCAAAGAACTGAATTTTAAATTTTATTTAATTTTAATTAATTTTAAATAGCCCCGTGCACTAGTGGCTGCGGTATTAGACAACAAAGCTCTAATGTTACCATGAATATTAGTAATGAATTTTTATTTGTAACATCCATTTCCTACGCACTCACTATGAGCCTGACACTTTGAGAATCATTTCACAGTTTTTGTCCCATTTAATCCTTCCAGCAACATTGTAAGGAAGGTATAGTTATTGTTCCCATTTTATAGATGGTGAAATAAAGGTACAAAGTTCAATACTTGCCCAAAGTTGAATCCAGAGATGGAAGGCAAAACCAGCTCTCTGTCGTAAGATGACACAGGTTGTGTCTCTGCAGATTTAGCCTGTAGGAAGCAGCCATGGGCATGGCTCTTAGTCAATCAGCACTGGAACAGACCTCAAGCAGCTTCTGCCCAAGGGTCCTCTGCTCCCCTTGAGGTTGGGGTGTTCACATGTGCCCCCAAGTCCCAGAAGGAGGCTGTGTGAACCTGGAGCTAGAAGTGTCTGGAAGGGATCTGATCCACTATGATGTCCTGGCCTGCCCCCAACTCCTCCCCACTTCAATCCTAGGTGCAGTCCATGGCACCCCAAAACAAACACAGGATATGGAGCAGTCCTATCTGACATTTACTTTTCCCCCTCAGGGGACCAGCATCTGTGCTTGGGCAATAAATAGGCTGTTGTCATACCATGTAATATAAAACGGGCATGTGTGTATGAGAGTTGTAGTCTGCCTCAATCTAAATTTTATCTCATTAAACTTGTCCCTCAATACTGTATATCTCCCACCTATGTGTTGTTGAGACCATATGAGCTGCTCATAAAAGCAGCTCCCCCGTGACTTCAACTATCTAGTACAAGGGTCGGCCTACTTTTCCTATAAAGGACCAGGTAGTGAATATTTTAGCATTTGTGGATCACATGGTTTCAACTCAGCTCTGTTGTAGCTGGGAAGCAGAGATAGACCATATGCAAACAAATGGGTGTGGCTGTGTTGCAATAAAACTTTCTTTATAAAAACAGGTGAGTTTGGCCCTCAGGTCATAGTTTGCTGAGCCCTGAGCTAGTAAGTGATCTTTTTGATCTGGCTGTGTTAATAACCATCTGTCAGACCTTAGACAAGTCACTCCAATCGAGGCCTCTGTCCCCACCTGTTAAGTGGGGATAAGATACCCAGTTCATGGTGAGATGGTGAGGGTTAGGACATGTGGGAGGAATAGTAAAGCTCTGACACAAACTAGATGCTTGATGAGTGTGAATTCCATCTCTGGAGTGTGCAGCCTGTGTCTGTTAATAAGTTGCTTTCTCCCTCTTGTTTTTTTCCCCCCAGAAAATGTTTCAAGTGGAGGAGGTGAACTGCATTTGTGTGGATTGGAGACGTGGGGCCCGGACACAATATACCCAAGCTGTCCACAACATTCGGGTCGTGGGAGCACAGATAGCTTTCTTAATACAAGGACTGTCGGTAAATCCCTGCCTAGGACACACATCCTGAGGGGAGGGGGTAGAGAGAGGGACAGGCAAGCCCCACAGTGCACCCAGAGGCAGCCGGGACCAGCGAGCGGGCAGGGACCAGGCCTGGAAGCCAGGAAGCCCAAGATGGGCCTTTGCTAAGATGGAGCTGCAACCTTCCTTCCTCCTAAAGTGTCCTGAAGATCCCTAGTTGTGGGGCCTGAGGCAAACTACCCTTTGAGCCCCAGTTTCCCCTTCTGCGCAGACTTCTGCGCAGGCTTCTGCGCTGGCTGTTCTGGGAATCTGAGAGCAGGCTGGCTGCCCAGCAGTTCTCAGCTCAGAAGATGGGTCTTCATGCTCAGACAGCCCTTGAGGGAAGGCCCCTTACAGCCTTCTGGACGATCTATTCCGGAGAACCTCAGAGCTGGGCCCACTACCTAGGCTGCCCCAGACAGGACCAAGCGTGCTGGGGACGAGAGCGGGGAGGCCCGCAGTGACCTGTGGATGGAAGCAAGCAGCTCACATCCCCAAGGCTGCCTGCAGTTGATGCGGTGGCCACTGGTCAGCACTGTTGGTCTGCGCACCAACCGGCCCGCGGGACTTGGAGTCTGCGGCGGCCCAGGGACTGGGGCTCGCTGTCCTAGGCGGTCTTGGAGCCCGAGGGTCGTTTTTTCCCCCGAATCCTGACCTCACCCCCAATCCCCCGAGCCAGCGTCACCCCACCCCGGCCTGGGGAACCTGACGCGCCGTCCTTCCGCAGACCGAGCTGGGCTACGGTCCCGAGAACGTGCACCTCATCGGCCACAGCCTGGGCGCGCACGCGGCTGCGGAGGCGGGCAGGAGACTGGAGGGCAGCGTGGGCAGGATCACAGGTAGGAGGTGCCGGAGGTGGAAGCCCAGAGCCATGCGCGTCCCACGGCCAAGGGCGCCCCTACTGGTCTTCCGGGAAGTGGTTTGAGGCCCCTACTTAAACAAAACAGCAATAGCCCATGTATTTTTTCATGCGTATTAGAAAATATATGATTGTAAGTAAAATGCATACACATACATATATATTAGCACATTAAACCCATGAATTCAGGATTATTGCTGCTAGAGTATGGCTAGGTTAAAAAATAAAAGTAGAATGACTTACATTCATTCATCGGTTCCACTCGTACTTATTTATTGGTTGTCTTTGCTGTGCCAGGCACAGGCCAAAAATGAAAGCGGCCAGCTGAGACCCGCCCCAGCAGGCGCTCAAGAAGTAGCAAACAAATGAATGAATCACTAGGCAAAATGAATGCACACAAGACATGGACACAGACAACTACTGTTTTTGTGGGGCCAAATCAGTATGTAACTTTGGCAAACAGTTCAACGTTGAATGAATGTCTCCTTTGCTCAGGGTGCTCTGCTAGGCAATGGGTGAAGGACAAGGGGACCGTAGTTTATGTTCATGGAGAACTTTTCAATTTGCAAAGTCCTTTCTCTTACATCTTTTCATGGGATTTTCACAATAACCCTGTAAGGTACGTTGTTGTTATTCCCACTTGCTGGATGAGGTAACTGAAGCTCATCGAAGACAGGCACTTGACCTTGAGTAGAACCAGGGCTAGAATACAGGTCGCTGAGGCCTGTGTACCATGCTCCTTCCGCCCTTTGCTTTTTTTTGTTTGTTTTTTTGTTTTGTTTTTCTAAGCTGAGCCATCCTGCTACCTGTTGGCAGCTCAGCGGCTGCTCAGCTCGGGCTGGACTCGAACCGCTGTTGCTCAGAGCTCACACTCTTGAGCGAGCTCTTAACCAACTGAGCTACTCGGCCGGCCCTCTTTGCTTTTTTTTGAAGATGAACTAGGCATAGCCCCTGCTTCAAGGAACGCAGTCTAGCCAGGAGGCAGACAACTAAGTAGGTAAATAAAATTCAAAGCGGAGTTAATAAAGGCAAAATAATCCTGTACAATGTGTATGGAATGGGCTGGGAAAGGAGCAGCTAAACTTTCCACGAGGGGGTGGTGTTTGAGTCGAGTCTTGGAGGGGAAGGATTCAGAATAGGGGAGAATGTGGGACAGTGAGTCGCAGGCTGGGGCTGGCAGAAGCAAAACCACAGAGGAATAGACGGTGCAGGGCTTGAGACTGGGGGGAGCTGGGCGAGGCCAGGGAGCTTGCAGTTGCAGAGAGCAGTGGTCAAAAAGTAACATCTATCTGCGAGGGAACAAAAGGAAAGGGACATGAAGGGGTGAGGGCGCCACCTGGGTCCTCCATGGAGCCCAGCACTGGGGGGGTTCTGGATATTCTCCGACAGGCAATGACCCACTTCCAGTCTTTCTGTCCCAGCCACCCCCAAGCAGACCAGGAGCTGTAGACCCAATTCCCCAAACCATGGCTGCAGGGCTATGAAGCCTTTTGCCCAGGAATCCCCATGGACTTTGTGGGTCCAGGGGTTAGATCCTGGTTTGCTGTAGAATATGGCCTCACTGTCCACTTCCCCCCTTTCAGGACTGGATCCGGCAGAGCCCTGCTTCCAGGGCACGTCTGAGGAGGTTCGGCTGGACCCGTCCGATGCCATGTTTGTGGATGTGATTCACACGGACATTGCTCCCATAGTCCCTTTCCTAGGTGAGTATCTCACCCCGTCCCTTGGTGACTAGTTACACCTGATTACAGTGGGTCCGGGTCTTCCCACACACACACATTCTGCAGGGATGGTTAAGCACAGGAATAGCTTGGGCACCAACCAATTGAAATGGGTACCAGTCACAAATGAACATCTAGTACAGTGCCAGTGGTACCAGCCTGTGGCCCCCAGGTAGGACTAAAACAAAACAAAACAGTTCTCTAGCCTATGGGAGGTTGTTCCTCACTCTTCCAACCCGGAGCCCTTCCCTAGTCTGCCAATATCCAGGGTGGCAGATGTGGTCATTATTGATGCTTGACCTGTACTTGCCAAACGCAGAGTTAATCTTTGAATTTCTTTCTTCTTTTATCAAAGCTTTGGTGATGCTTTGTTTTGTTGGAGACTCTGGCTCTGGTTGGAAGGAGTTCAGCACTCTCTGTGGCCGCTTCCCGCCCTGCTCACCTCTGCTTTCAATGTTTCAGGTTTTGGAATGAGCCAAAAGGTGGGCCATCTGGATTTCTATCCAAACGGAGGAAGGCAGATGCCTGGATGTCAGAAAAATATTCTCTCAACCATTATTGATATAAATGGACTATGGGAAGGTACGTGAATCAGAAAAGCAAGA